TTCAGCAGCCCTGCGTCAGAGTCAGAGTCGTATGGAGTGGAGCGACAAGTCGAAGCTTGAGCCTCGTCGAGGTGCTTCTGCCGGATGGCCCTTCCATACCTGAATCCAGCGTCCCAGGCCGCCATTCTCACCTCGAAGGTGAGCTTCGCCCTATCCTCCACGCTGGGGCCCGGCGGCAAGGGCCTTTCAGGCGGAGGGCACTACCAAACCGCAGGTTCGAACACTCCAGCCTAACCGCCGAATCAAAAATCACTACAGGGGAAGGGATTCTCTGGGCCCTCCTATGCATTGCTCACCTCCCCAGTCGCCACACCGCCATGTTCACAGTATTTGCGGTCGTCGGCTCCATGGCTAATTGCAGCCTGGGGAGCCTCGGTGCCTGGGAGCCTGAATGCATAGGGGCATCTGACAGATCTGAGCGGTTGCACTGTGAGTCCCCAAGCTTGCAAGCACTGACTGACTGACGAATCAACAGATCACTGACAGTCTTTGCCTCATTTTTGCACGGCCACTGCAATGCTGTACATCGAGTCGAATCAGCCGCTATTAGATGTAGACACGGCCCTCTCCCTAGGGTCTGATCGGATGGTGACTTCGACTGGGTACTCCAAGTTGTGCGGAAGACTGATGACCAGGGAGCCACCAGGGGAAGTCGAGGTCGTCGGAGGAGAGGATGCCGTGATCGCCCTGGAGGCCAGTTGGAACGCCTGTACCGGGGTTACCGGGGTAGCGAAGGTGTGAGTCACACCTTCGCTAGTGCTATGTCCACTTCCACCGGGTCCCACAAAAAATGCAGTGGCAGGTGTCGGTGCCGGCGGTCCATGTGGTCCTTCAGAATCTGTGGCGGGTCTGCGAGTCACACCTTCGCTAGTGCTATGTCCACTTCCAGTTGCAGGTGTCGGTGCCGGCGGTCCATGTGGTCCTTCAGAAGCAGTGGCGGGTCTGCGAGAGGAAACAGGCGTTGGAGGGGGTGGTCCGCGAGAGAAAACAGGCGTTGGAGGGGGTGGTCCCCTCGGAAGGCTGGTGCCACTGCCAGTGCCCGGTGGCGGACCGGTCTCCTCATCAGTGGATCGAAGGAGGTCTTGATCGGAGTCAGTATCGGACAGGGTCAAGCGCGGCTTGGCCTTGGCTTTAACCGCTGACGCGCGTGGGGTGCGGGAGGCAGAGCCACGAGGCATTTTCTTGGGCGCCACCATGCTGCTCCCTAGTTCCCTGGCAGCCTGGGAGCCTGGGAGCCTGGGAGCCTACAATTATTATGACATGTTCGACTGAGCTTTGACATGTTGCAGCCTGGCAGCCTGGGAGCCTACAATTTTTGTGACATGTTCGACTGAGCTTTGACATGTTGGAGCCTGGCAGCCTGTCGGAGCCTTGGAGCCACAAGGAAAGCCCCTGTGAGAACAGCTCATGTCTGCAGCACAGCATGGTATCGCTTGATTGAA